CCCCGCCCCCCCACCGCCCGAAGAGGATGAGCCCGCCGGTTCTCCTCCTAGAGCTTCGCTAATCTGGGCGTGAGCCCGGGAGACGTCTAGCTCGGAGTTCGTCCTCGCCAGGAGGGCCTTGTAGTGGTCTCGCTGCCTCTCGAGCTCTCCGGCCTTGGCCTTGAGGGAGAACACTTCTTCCTCGGCGTTCGCCAACCCCTGCACATAGGAACGGAGCGCGGTGGTGTGCACGACGCCGGGTTGTTGGGGACGTTGGCGCACAGCAATGTTTTCGACGGGTTGCCTCGGTCGCGCTAACCTTGGGGCGGCGAATGAAAACACGACAGTCTTGGCGCGAGACCACAGACCGTGGTGTTCTAGTCCCCGGGCTCCCGCGACAACAGGGCCACGGAAGAGACCGGGTGACATGTTTGTTGGGGTCCGGGCTCTGGGAGTGTACCCATCGGTTAAAACCTTTGTTGTTTGCCTTGATGTGGGGAGGACTGCTGCCATGGCTGAAATTCCCTCTAATTCGAAATATTCTACAGTTTTGACCTGGAACAGTACAAAAAATGGGACAGAAAATTGTCCTTGAAGGACAGTACTTCTCTCAACGTCACGCGTCGCCGGAGTTTCACTGCTGTCGAACAATAGGCTCTCGGACGCCAAGACTGTCCGGCGGCGTTTTAGGCGATAAGACAAGCAGCCCCATGATACAACGGGACCACGGGCGGGGTGGTTTGTCAAGTCGCATGAAGAGAGCGGGATGCATCCCGAGAATCAAGCGCTGGTGGGCGGACATATGCGCCAATCAATGCCCCAGGATTCAAAATCGCTATACTGTCTGTAGCTAACGCAGACGATAAATCGTGTCTTGCATACTGCATCAAGCTTGCAAGGATGGCCAACATTTCGGATGCGAGCAGACCAAAAAAAGGTGGAGAGACGCCTGCGTGGATCGTGCAATTTGACAGCAATCGTCTGATCTCTCGCAACCTCGCCCCCAACCTAAAATACTTCGCCTTGCGCGCCACCTCCGGCGGAGACATGCGTTCAAAAGTCGTCTGCCGAGAGGTTCGTGTTCACGTTACGGCAACATCGCGAAATAAAACTGCTCTTGGCAGTCAAAGGACCGCCGAAGACAGATACATAGATACCCTCCATCGCACCTTCACGAGCAACTCCGCGGCCTTGCGCATCATCAGCGCGGCCTGCCCGTCCTCGCTCTTCCTCAGGATCTCCACCAGGGTTCGGTTGATCATCGAGATCCGCGCGAGCTTCGCCGCCAGGACGTCGTTGAGCTGCTTGAACTCCTTCGCCAGCCGCAGCATCGCCGCCCGGGCCTCGCGGTCCCCCTTGCTCTCCAGCGTTCGAGTGGTGTCTTCGAACCGCAGGCTTAGCTCGATGTGGGAACCCTGCAGGCGGTGACCCTCCCATCGCAAGTCAGTGGACTCCTGCACGAGGCCCTCCCCCCCGGCGGGGGTTTGACCTTGTGGGTGGTCTTTGTCGGCCTGCCACCGCGCAAGAGCGGCGGGCACATCACGGCAACATACAAAGCAGTGCGGAAAATTGGGTGTAAAGTTATCCATCCCGACCTAAGCCCCGTTGTAAAACTCGCACGCCCTGTAGGGCGCAGCAGTGGGCACATGTGCGTACACTCACGCCAGACAGGGGAGAAAAAGCTGCACGACAAGCAGTACACACGGCTGCTGCCGTTCGCGTCCGTCCCACTTCCAAGACTGAGACGGCCTTTACATTCGTCAGCCGATTAAGTGGCACGGTCAAGCTAACTTCGTAACACGTGCACGTTGACGACACTCACCATGTCTCGTCGAAACTCTTCTCGCCAACCGTCGCAGGTGCATACAGCAGACGATTATGGGTAGGACGAGGTAGATTAGGACACCTCCGCAAACACCGCCTGTTAGTGGGAAGCGACCAGCGCGCGAAGCACGATGCGGGCATGTTGAACTTTCGCGGGCCGTCATCCTGTCTGTACTATGCGTGTCAGGGAGTAGGGGAGCCTCGTGATGCTGGCAAAGGTTAAGGTTTCCCTTTGTACGGGAGATTTTGTGGCCTCGGGGCTTTGCCCTTGCCCCGTGCCATGCATCCAAATAAGGCGGTGTTCTACTCGGCCAACGGCGCTTTCCCGACCACGAGAGAGAGCACTCGCGTGTTACACACAGACCCATTGTCACGCAGCAGCGATGGAAGCTCTCCAAGAGGTCTGTTACATCGAAGATCGTGACTTTGGACAGATGGTGCTGACCCGCCTGCTGCATCAATCCAGTTCCCTGCCGAGTAACTACCCTTTTAATCGTCCAGCAACCGGTGGAGGACATCGGCACGACGCTGCAGTAGGCCGTTATGTGCCAAAAATAAAAAATAGTGAGCCCTTTTCTCAACAACAGCAGAGGAAACGTTACTCAAGACACACACAACCTCTGAGTTCGAACACCACCAACTCACCCCTTAGGCAGAGATGGCTGTGCACGCGTGTGCAGGCCGAGAGCCAGCAGCAGAGCAGCCACAGGACTGCTGCGTGTGTGTGATGAGCCCGGGGCACGCAGAAAGCTCAAACGTGGCGGGTAATGAATGAGTCATCATTCAGTTCACGGTGCCGCCTCGGGGCCTTGGGGTTGGCAGTCCACACAGACAGGTATTTCACGAAAGCACCACGCAAAACCAAAGCTCCCCGTCCATCTCGCACCAGCAGCGGGAAATTCGGTGGAAGAAATGATGGAGCCGATCCAACAGCAGCGAAGGCGCCGCTCACGCCCCACGTGCTCCTGGCAAAGCCGCAGAGAAAAGGTGAAGCACTGATTTGTTCTGTGGTATGTGGTATCATAGCACCGCGTCATCGTCATCGTCAGCTTCATGTACACGTACTTGACGTACTTGGACGTCATTGTAGACTCCTGCGCGAACACGGTGCCGTGAAAGTAACGTTGACACAATAGCCCTCTGCTGGGTGTGAAACCTTGACCTGAGCAGGTCGGGACTGGTTGTGCTTGGTCTGGAGCCCCGGTGTAGGCGCTCGAAACTCAACGTTTGCGAAGCGTCGCATCTTTGATTCGCCGGAGTTGTCATGTCATGCCCCCGCCGGTTTATACGCACGAAAGGATTTTCGAGAAGGGGCGCCTCTCTCTCTCGCTCTGTTCGAGGTTGTTTTGCTCAAGCCTGCTGCTCTCAACGACCCGCAGCGTTCTCTTGTGGGTGACAGCAGGGGCCCATCTACCCGAAACATGCGCAGCTCGGCACGGAAAACGATATTTAGCACATCACATAGAGGTCTTCCCTCCCCTTTCTCTAACAGCAAGAGTGACACATCCTGGTTACCATGTATTGTACCTCTAGCTGTGCCATGAACCCCCATGTTCTGGTATGTGCACCGTTCTTCTACACAACCCAGGTGATGCTATGCGCCTGCCTCGGACTCGGCGCGCAAAGCATCGTCCCCGCCGCCGAAGCCTGGGTACCCGCGGCGCCGGCGCTGCATGTGCAGCAGCGGGGCCGAGTAGCACAGCCACCAACGAAAACAATGCACGTCGGAGGAGGAGGAGGAGGAGGAGAAGGAGGAGCATTTTCGTACCACCACCCCTCGCAAGGTAGTAACAGATTGGGGGGGCAGCAGCAGCAGCGGCAACGCTGTCGGCGACTGGCGTTCGCACCGATCAGCAGCCAAGCGTGGGGAATCGAAAGGACGTTCGGACAGTCGGCCCTCTCATCGCGCTGGACGGGGCAAGGAGTGGTAGGCGCTAACAACAACAACGCCGCCGCCGGGGGGAGGAGGAGGGGGGGGGTGATGATGTCGATGGCGGAGGAGGACAGCGGGACGGAGAGCCAGGGCTACAACGCGATGCTTGGAGCGGTCGCGCTCGCCGGCCTGGGCGCGTTGTACTACGGGTGAGGGCCGGATGGATGCTGCTGCTAATTTAGCTTGCATATGTTGTCGATGCGGACACCCCGTAACGGCCGCGACGCTACAAATAGCAGTGCGCTCTCTTCATGCACACATTCGGCAGAGTGATGCGCGTGCGATGCAATTCGGCCTTTTGCAGTGTCGCAGCTCGATCCGATGATCGACTCTGCTGGTCGCAACCCGATCAATCGCTTGACTGCTGGATGAATGTGTTTCTCTCGATTCAGGTGGGGCATCGTTTCAAGTTCTTGGAGGCCCAGCACAAAACGATTTGCACGTGTTCAGCGCAGAAGAGATTCCGCCTGGGGGCAGAGCATGTTAGATTCATTTTCCCCCGAAAATCCCTCGAACAATCTCTCACATCTGGTGTGCTGTTTTTGTTTTTGCTGAACTGCTGTCATCACATGCGTGACCATCTCTTTTGTCCGGTCTTGCATCTCCTCGGCTGAGGAGCCCCAATCCGGGGTATCCACGAAGCATTGGGATCGCTTTGCCGACGCGTTCTGTCGTGTTTGTCCGATAAGGGTCGGAGTATACCCCCTTCCCTCCAACGGTTACCCGGCGCTCTTTACAAGCACAAGCACAACCAGCAAAATCAGGGAAGAACGAAGCCGAAAATCAAAACCATAATGGTCAGCCTTTTGAAAGAAACTCTCATCGTACAATATACTTTAATGTGTACTCACGACCGATGTACACCACCGTGTACCCCCCCCCCCACCCCCCCCACTCCACCCCAGGCTGCACGACCACACCCTCGGTGGCGGCGGCGGCGCCAACCTCGCCGGTCTCGGCACCGACACGGGCGGCCCCTTCTCGGCCTATGCGGCCTCCGTCGAGTCCGCCGTCGAGACCGCAAAGGCCGGGCACAGCGCCGCCAGCACCGCGGTGCAGGCTTTCCTCTCGAGCAGCATCACCAAGGTGGAGGAGCTGGGGCCGCTGGGCGTCGTGTACTTCGGGCTGCTGTACGTCCTGGCTGAGGTGCTGATCATTCCCGCCATCCCGCTCACGGCGGCGGCGGGATTCCTGTTCGGGGCGGCCGGGGGCACCGCGGTGGTGCTCACTAGCGCGACCATCGCGGCGGCGATTTCTTTCCAGCTCGGACGCACGCTGTTGAGGTGCGAGAGAGCCTTGGGGGGGTACTCGTAGCCGTGCATGCCGTAGTCGTTAGACCGTTGACCTCGGGGTATGTGTTAATGCCCGTGCATGCCGTGGTCGTTAGCCCTTGGACCTCGCATCCTTACAATCCCGGGAGGGACCACGCCGGGTTTTCGCCGTACCGGGTTTTGGAATCCCCAAGCGGGGGGTTCCGTGAGGTTTTGGGCGATTCGCATGGAGGGGGGGGGGGGGGTGTACTCATAGTTGTGCATGCCGTAGTCGTTAGGCTGACTCTTATGGCAACCGAAAGTTGGCCGGACGTTTTTTTTGGACTGGCGTACCCCCACCCCCCGGATTTGCCACGGATTCGACCAAGAGACAGACCTATCACCACATCACCACAGAGTTCTCCCTCCATGATGTCAGATCGTCACCAGAACTTGAAGGCTGCACGCACCACACCTGTAGGCGTCTTTGAAGCTAGTGGTGACTGCTGTGGGGTCTGTGTGTGCTGAGTAATGTCAATCCATG